CAATACATGGAAGTTGATTTGAGTGTCCAGTCTGAAGCTACTGCGGAATATAACCTAAATGCTATCAAGGAATTCTCCCCCTTTAATGAGTATTTCATCGGAGAAAAGCTAGGTTTATTTGGTGAAGAGGGTACTGGAACACAGATATATATATGGAATTTAGATAGGTGGGGTAAAGACTACACCTTGGACTGGAATTCAGGGAGGACTGATGAAAACCCCACCGACAAAGGTCATGGAGACATATTAATCCGGTCAAAAAGAGTAAGATCACGTCCAGGACAAACAAGTAAACAGGTATGTGTTGTACTTTTGCCCCTATTCAAGAATTCGTCCGATTAACCAGTTAACTTGCCGATTAATCCCTACTCGTAGGGTCATCAAGTAGCTGATAAACCGATAAATCATCTGATTAATTGATTAAATGGCTGATTAACTTACCGATTAGCCTATTAATCTCCTACTCGCCAGCTAACCGAGTAGCTACCAGTTAACAATTTCCTCAACAATGCTTTTGCTTTTGACACAAGAGATAAACTTCTAGGCTCAATTCAAGATAAATGAATTTCATATTTATAGCTTTAAAGTTGATATTTGGGGCTTGATGAGCTTGATGAACCTGGATATTATATTCACACACATTCAGTACTCTCTAATGACATGCATGACTTTGTGATGTCAAACTTAGTCTTCTTAATTTCGTTTTTATGGTTCGTTCTGTCTGCATGCACTTAGCTTTATGAAACTGCTAAAAATGTGGCATGACTTGATTTGTTGATTAATTATATTATGTAGGTCCCATTGGACTATTCACTTCACTCTTATCTGGAAGTTATCTTCCGGAATCCTCGAATGAAAATCACAGTGCAAGGGTCTAAGGTAAATGCACATGTCATATAAATGTTGGTTTCCATGTGATATTCTCCCATGTTTATGTTGTTGGGGCACAATATATCCCTGTTTATAATCTATGTTGTTTCTAGGTCAAAGCACGCCCCTTGGACAAGAGCCTTAACACAACTTCAGTGATTTCTGGTGACATTGCGGGAAGGACCATTGAGTTGACTATTGGAATGAGCAAAGTAGAATGGGAAAGAACGAACTGTGGGGTTTTCTTGTATTGGCGTGGTCGACTAATAGAGGTGGGATTAGCTGACATTGCACTAAATGACTAACCTGACCATCTTCAGCTAGCTATGTATGCCTGTTTGTCCAACCACCTTTTTGCCTATTTTATTGTTTGGCCAACTGACTTTTTCTTTGTTTCGTGGTTGTTACCACAGTATATATATTATAAAACAAGTTCAGCTACCACAAACTGAGCTTTTGTCGTGCTCATAGGCTGCAGTGCTTTTACTCCATTAGAGTACACTTTTTTTTTATTGCGTGCTAGGGTGGGTAGGAGTGTGGAGTTAACCCCGTGTGTGTTGAGCATTGAAAACTATATTGAATGTAATACCTAGCTAGGTTGAGCTTTTTCATGTTCAGTGTATTAGTTGTGCCTTACAAACAATAAATGTTTGTTTCGTTGCAGGAAGCTGTTTGCAACTTAAACAATTTAACATATATTTTAGACTTTACAGTACTTCCATACCTTCAGTGTGAATATTCTTTGCCTCTACACATGTGCATGCTTTTTCTAACATTTGATTTTTGTGTTCTTCTCTCAGTCTTACAAACGAGTTGGAGGTCAAATGCATAATGCTGACACGGGACGTGGAGTAATAGGAGTTGCAGATATTACAGAAGTCGTTGTATGGTTCATAATATCTTGGCTTTGGTAGGGATGTTGTTCAGTTTCATCTTGTTTGAATAAACTTCTCCATTTATCCTGCAGGATGATGAAGATGGCAATTCATGGGTTCTTAACAGCAAACAAGGGTTTCAAGATTGTGAGATGTATGCTGAGCTGGAGGAATGGCTGGGTAGCAGTATGGATGAATACTGGGAGACAAATTTTGACAACGTAGAATTGGTATGAATTTGGACATAGTTTATATTGGGAAATATCTTGTCAGGCATATCTGGTCACAAACTGCTTTATGAAATATTTTTGCATTGGATTTGGCAAGAGACAAGTACTCCCTCCATTTCTAAATATAAGCCCTTTTAGAGATTTCAATACGGACTACATAAGGATGTATGTAGACATAATTTAGAGTGTAGATTCACTCATTTCGCTTCGTATGTAGTCCAGATTGGAATCTCTAAAAGTTCTTATATTTAGGAACGGAGGGAGTAGATAGCAACACTACAACATCGATAGATTTGGACATAACTGATCATACATTTGTTGAGAAAAAAACTACTGTCTGTTCCATTTTGCATTTATTTGATAACTCTTATATGAAAATGTTAACCATAGCGAGTAGGAATGGAAATATGGTAGACTTTCAACAGGGTGAAGTCCCCATCTCGTATCATCATGGTATGTAGACAATCAAAAATAATTTTAGTTATTATGAGTTTGAAAGCTACTTACCTTCTGTAACTATGGTGATGGACGTATAGATATCGGTGTGATGTATGCACCTTCTCTTTGCAGAATATATGTACTTTACTACGGAAAACATATTTTACATGTATATAATCAATCATGCTGCTAGGGATGTAGTAGTTGGGTAAGGGATCGGGGTTGCTCTTCAATCCTTGTTTCTGTTAGTGATCAGGAGCCAAATGTTTATTATCCAAGAACTAAGTTATGTCGGTGGTACCTTTAAGGTTTGCCTGTACAATTCTGGAAGATTATGTTCGCTGCATTTAGAAGTGTTACTCAGTTTACACCTTTCTTTATCTAGGGAAAAGCGGCCGGCCGCTGCAAGCCTGATCATGAATGGGTTCAGTGTTATGGCTGTCGTAAATGGAGAGTGTTGACTGCCGGCTTTGATACGGAGTCTCTACCAGATCAATGGTTTGTATCAGGCAATCATACTCAACATCATACAGGATAAGCTCTCTTTTTTTACTGTGTACAGGATAAGCTTAGTTGATTTTATAATTCTAAAGGAATTCTTTTGAGTGTCCCCCATCATAGCCAGGCAAAATTTGGAGCCTGCAGTTTGCAACAATATCGATTGTACTTCCCTAACTAGGATTTGACTTCTGTGACTAGGATTTGGCTCTATAAAAAAATCCTGGGGTTCATTCAGGAAGACAGTTTGACTCTCTATGCTAACCAATTACTGTTTGAATTTTGCCAAGTTCAAAATTTCCAGTTTCTTGGTAGTGCAAACTAGAATGAAAAATACAGTTCAAAAACATGAAAATAATAAGTTTCATGTCAATCATGTCTGACATAACACTAGAAATAACTATTTTACACTCACATATCATGATTTATTGTTTTCTGACTGTCTTTTTGATTACATCATCTTGCTGGTTCATCATGTGCTTACTGGATGATTTTTCATTTTGCATTTAAATTTTGTAAACATCAGCTAATAATATTTGTGTCAAGATTCAGAACTCTATTCACTAATAAGTTCAAATAATATTCTTGTATCATCACAATTCTAAGGGTTTAAGAAACATACAGTGACTTAAATATCTTGGTTCTGTAAAATTTATATATGGGATAGCCTCTTTCCTTCTTTTCTTTCGACAGTTCTGAAGTTTTGACACCTGAAATTTCAGGTTTTGCTTGATGCCACCCTTCAATGGGAAATGTACGATACCAGAGCAACAAATGGGCCATGGTACCATAACCATAGGCGAGAAAAGGTCCGGTAATGTTGGCCGCAATAGGACCCAGCGGGAAGCTACAGCTAAGGTTGATACAAACAAAATAGGGAACAATGAGTTCAGTCAGGATGAAGATGTGAAGGTAACTACAAACCTCAGGATTATATGCATGTCATGTTTTTTGAAGGTCAATTTGAGAAGTAAATAACTTCATTGTGTTGTGTGCTCAGAATGTAAAGCTAATCCCAACAATTGTCAACAAGCGAAAGAATACTTCCAACGGCACGAACAGCATCGAAGGTATGCATGCGCTGTGTAGACAAAATAGAAACGCTGGAAAGTAACAAGAATAGGGAAAACCTTTAAGCTTATCATCTGACTTCCTTGCATGCACTACCAATGGGCTTGTCAGATGATTTGGACAGCAATTCCTCGCAAACCGAGTCTGTTGCCCCTCTCCATGTTTTGAAGAGGATACGGAGGGGTGCCCCAAGAGGTTGCAAGACGTGATGATGAATGAAAATGCACGGTAAACTGTTGTGTTTTTGTTTATCTTTCTGCAAACGAGACCTTATAACATCATGTACAGAGTCATTTTACTTGTGTCCTTTTTCTCTAGATTTTGGTCAACTTGCAACTCTTGTCTTTTTATTTGCCTCATGCCCCTGATAAATATTTATTTTTTACAGGGCAGCAAAGTTTCCTTCTTGGAACTGTTCCTGGGGTGCTGCAGCAGTTAGATCATGATCGTTCGGCTTAAACAAACTCCAATAGTTAACCAAATTCGTGTCTTTAGATAGCTTCCGTGGCAGTGAAACTAGTGTGTTTGCCAAACGTGGAGAAGTGGTATCGAAGCTAACCAAATGTGTGTGTAACTACCAACTAGTGTCTGTCGGTTTTGCCTTGGTATGCTATAACTCCCGTTGCACTCATGGTTGTGCTGTGCTTGTGCAAGTGTGTTCACACAGTGGGCCAAGTCAGTGGTTTGGTATGTCGTCCGAAAAGCTACAGAGAGTGATGTCTCTACAACTGCAACAGTGATGAGTGAATTCCGAACTTAAAGTTTTTGTGTTTGCTATTGGCAAGTTGTCTGAATTTGTAACTTGCGCTGATCGATTTCTGGAGTGCGGCCCTGAGGCGCAGACCGGGGTGTTGACGATGGCAAGGCCGTGGCAGGGAGTGCCTCAGAGCTGGGGATGCAGCATTTTTTTTGAGAGAGAGCCGTTTCACGGCAGGGCACGGCAGTGGTGTTGTTGGTGGAGAGGAGTTGAAGATTGATGGCTTGGGGTGGGCTGACGGCGCCAGTGAATGGTGGTGGTTTAGAAGGATGCTTCGGGGCAGAGGCAGGCCGGCTGGGGCAGGAGAATGAGGATGCACACCAGCCTTTGGATTTCAATCCAACGGCTGGGAAATAGACTGGCATGGTTTATTCAGGCAACTTACAGATAACTACGCCCTAAAGTTCAATAATCATGTTGGACGTGCGTGGCGGGCAGAGCGAAAACCATTCACGTTCATTCTTGGGTCACGGCATTTTAGTAACCCTTGTAGTTGTAATTACAGTCGCTGGAGCTTGCAATCCTCTTTCACCTACTCGACGAACTGCTTGCCTGCGAACGTTTGCGCAAACATCCAGTCCGAAGGCGCAACGTTATACATGGTGATCGTCCTCCCCTTTCCTCCGGTGACCTCGAACGAGAGCGGCTGGCCTCGGAGGTCCGCGTCGCACTGCCAGTTCTGCCCCCAGTTCCTCCCCATCGGTATCCACCCGGTCTTCGACCCCTTCACCTTCACAGCGTCGACCTCGCCGTCGGCTGCCACGTTGGTGATCAGCACCTGGAGGAAGTTGGGGCCGCCGGTGATCGTGAACCGAATTCCGCCGGCCCTGTCACAGCTCACCCTGCATCACCATCGTCAATCGATCAGATGCTGCGTGATTTAAGCATGGTGATCAAACTGCACACTATCTTGATCTTATCCTGCACTATAAAGGATACTTGGTGTTTACTACTGTTGGGACATACTCATAGCACTGGTCTGAAACTGTGGAAGTACTCATGATCAGCATACACAAGTCAGATTCAAAAAAGAAGAAAGCGTCAGGGATTAAAGCTGCCCTTTCCTCAGCACCCTCTCAGGGCATGTACAATGCATAGCCTCAAGGTGATGCCTCGTATACCATGTAGGATCGGATATGGCGTAAAGTAAGTTCGGATAGGGAAGCGGGATCCTCTTCAGGAGGCGGATGCTTGAAGAGAAAAAGTGTAGTCCGATGACAAAAGCTGAAAAGGTTGAAGTAAAAAGTAGAGATGCATGTGTATTAGAGTCTTTATTTTCTATTTCTTAATAAGGCCCACTAGTGGTAGCTTGCATTGGGGAGAAATAAATGTAGATGCCTCAAATTACTTTTTGGCATGGGGCATATGTATCCATATGCCACCATTGTACATGCCCTCATCAGCCCTGATACTTTCTACCCAAAGTGGCTTCAGACATGTTCCACATATTCTACGATCCATTTGTAATCATCAGAATTCAGACATCATTCTGAACTTCTGCCCAAGCAGGCTAAAAAAAACTACTCCATATGCACAACTCAAGAACGATAGTGCCATACTTTTAACTACAACAGATGCACAACTCAAGAACGATACCGCCATGCTTTTGCACATATATATTGAGAAAAAATAGATGAAATTTGCATCAAGAACCGTTTGTTACCTTCGGAACTGCACCTGGACAATGTCAGCCTTGGCCTTGGCGACCCGGAGGAAGGCGGCCTCGGTCATCTCCAGGTGCTCCTTGGGGAAGTTGCACCAGCCGCCGTAGTCGTCTGCGAGGCCGAAGTTGGGGGCGCAGAAGTCGGTCGCCGTCACGACGACGGTGGGGCTGCCCCGCAGGCAATAGAGGATGTTGTTGACGCACCGGAGCTCGTAGCAGCCGCCGCAGGCGCTGCCCCGCCCGAACAGCGCGCCGCTCAGCCCGGCCGTGTACCTCCCGTACCTGAATATGTCCAGGTCCCCGTACCCGCAAGCGCCGCCACCTTTGGAGTTTCAAGCAGCCATTGCATCAGACAACAGCATTTTTCGTTTCTTCAGGTAACATGAAACAGAGCAAGGATTATTGGCACTGGGCACGGGATGGAACTAAATGAAGAAATTGAGCATACGGTCTTCAGGATTCAGAGTATATTTTGGTGGATCTTCGTGAAGGTACACTGTGAAGGTGGGGAAGGGACAACGGGGTCCGATTTCAGTGGAGCAATTACTGTGAAGGTACACTGACTTGAGTGCAGGCAATGACAGCAGGAAGAGGCCATGTTGTACTGGCCTGCGCCTCATGTTAGGATTGTCAAAGCATTCAATGTGCCTCACTCCCACTTCTTACGCAAAGGTCAAGAATTTGGTTTACAGACACTTTATATTTAGTGAACAGAAAAGGGAAAGGTGCACTACTGCGCTAGTACTCCATTATTGGTTTTCTTTCGGCTGATTAGGATAGACTAACACATCAAGAGGAAGTTTTTTAAGTGAAAATGTTGTCATTAGCGTGAACACCGCACTATAATTATTTATCAAAGAAACCCTTTTGTACCCTTTCACAAAACACAATTAAATATACTAGTAGAATATTTCTATCATCTACACAGAACATCCATGGAATGTTCAGTTTCAAGAGTCAAAATGCATCTCTCAATCAGTAGCAGGGCAAAAGGGAGCAACTTTCAACAGCAAATCTTCACATCTGCTTTCTATCGCGACCTCCCAGTGGCATTTCTCTGCCCAATACGCCGGATCTACACAATACCACAACATCTCATCCTTGCAAACAGCATTCACCATCCCCAATCTCCATTCAGTGAAAATGCACAAGAAAAGAAAGGGGATGGAAAGGGAGAGAGAGAAAGACCAGACATTCCCTTTCCTTCCTTCCTGATGTTCTTGATGCTGCTAACGAAAAAAAGGATAAATAAGAACACAGGAGCACATACATACCGTCATTGAGCGGGTGGCCCTGGGACTCCTTGATGTAGGTCGCCGTGCCCAGCCTCCAGTCCTCGTACCCGCCATTGCCCGCCAGCCTCACGCCGCCGCCGACCCCGACCCCAGAAATCACCAGCAAGGAGAGCAGGAGCAGCGAGCCCATCACGGCGCCTGCGCCTGGTAGCGATCACGGGCTCGCCGGCCAGCGCCGCTACTGGACGGAAGAGTTGGAGTGCCTGCAGAGGATTGGAAGGGGCTTGCGTTGTGTGTGTTGGCTCTGGTGGCGGCGTGCGCGTTGCTTTGTTCTTGGCGAGTTTCTTGGACTCCTGGTCGGAGTGGGCAGTCTTTTGGGTTGGACCGTGGTGGCGCGGGGGTCAAAGATGAGGAGGGCAGGCAGGGGTGCAGTGGGGCACGGGACTGGGAGGAGAGAACAGGGGGCCTGCTTTCGCCACGCCCTTTCTGCCCTCGCTTTGTTGGGATTTGGGCCATGGCTTGGCAGCACACCCCGCGCGCGGCGGCCTCCCTCCCTTTTCGAGGGCCCGAGCCGGACGTGACCGTGACACTCTACACGCCGCGCGCCCCGAAGCATCACGTCTCGCACAGTTTCGGATCAAATGCGTTGCCGCTCCGCTCCGTTTCGTGGCCTTGCTGTTCGGCCCGTCTGTTCTGAAAGTTCAGAATTTACATTTTGTACACACAATCAATTGAAATTTTTGGTGCTGGGTGTTTCTTATTCTTGAAAGGGCGGGGGAACTTTATTAGGTTTGTGTACATGTCCTTGAGCTCGATTTGATTCCCCTCCCTCGTGCTACTACTGCCCTGCCTGCTGCGTGCGTACCGACTGTGCTCTTGATGTAGCAGGTCAGCTTCAGACGCGCAGCGCCAACGCCTTGATGTAGTAGGTCGGCTTCTTTTTTTTCTTTTTTTTGCGGGTTAGTAGGTCGGCTTCTGATTGCAACCGCCAACAGTTAGCTAGTTACAACGAGCAGCAGAACACATGAAACGGGCTGTTTGAGTATGCGCTAATTACATTACATGAAAATAAGTTATTAACACTCTTATTTGGCCAACGGAACTCAATCTGCGTGCTGCAACCAATGTATTTAAGGAGTTCCCATTGCTCCCGCGAGGAGTTCGCCCACTACCACGTCTGCCGATCGCCCACGACCCACGGGGCGCCACCTTCTCGTTGGCTTCTTGGTTCGGCGATAGCAAGTTTTCTTGCGGCCCCATGCCACACTTCGTCGATGATACACCCCTGCCAACAATAACTTGACAAAGGAGTCGTAGGTTCAAGGTTGTACGAGTGGACAGGGTGTTACATATCAGTTGTCCTCTAATATCATATCCTAATTTATTTTATTTTTTTACAAGAAATCCTAACTCATAGATGACACAGATGAAGCGTGCCATTTCTTGTATGATTACTACAAGGGTAAATTTTATTTCTGGACTGAGGCTGGACACCATCTCAATTTATAGGCCCAACAAATGAGTTATTCACGCTTTTATTATGCTTTATGTACATGGCCGTTCATGAACGCTCGTGAATAAAGTCTGTTTAGCATGAAGCAAGCATCTAGGTTGTGTGTCCTTGAGCTCAACTCATCTCCTCGTGCTACTGCCTGCTGCATACATACTTATTTGATGTAGGTTGCCTTCAGATGAGCAACCGCGCAACTGCGTCTATGGGCATGCAGTTACATCGAAGATCGAAGATCCTAACACAATTTTGCTGTCCGGATTGCATTTTTCGATAAAAGGTGGAATTTATTGATTCAAAATGAAAATAAAAATTGTTGCAGTCATGGATTTGTTATCTTGGTCTACTAACACCCGCCAAACCTAGGCACGAGTCTCTATCTACCATGCAACAAGCATTAGTGCATTGTAAATGGATTCTAAATCCCAACATATTTAATTGCGATATGTGCTAACTTTTTATATTAGGATATTTTTTTGTGTTTCTACATAATATTCTCACACATTTCATATTAAGGGTTGAATTTATACTCTATACAACATTTCAAAACCAAACGTCTAATTCCACGATAACATGTGGGATATCGTCTAGTTCTTAACAAGATCTCAGTTTCACGTGTATGGTGTGGGATAGTTTTTTTTAGGGCTTGGTGTGGGATAGGTGGGGTAACATCCACATGCAGGAGCTAATGGGCCGGACCCAGATCCAATTTCCTTGGAACTCTCTATTTTGTAGATTAAAAAGTGAAAATCAGTTAAAAATGTTAAAAAATATATGAATTGAAAAAATGTTCAAGTTTGTATTATAAAAATATTCACCACAAATTTAAAAAAGGATTGTTACACATCTGAAAAAATTATTTACATTGTATTTCAAAATGTTCATCGCATATTTGAAAAATGCCTATCACGTATTTCAAAAACATTAATTATGTATTTGAAAAATATTAATCACGATAAAAAATGCTTGTATGTATTTGAATAATCACATACTAGATAAATGTCCGTCACATGTTTGAAAAATGTTCATATCGTACTTAGAATTTTGGGAAAAAATGTTGTTCGCGGTTTCTCTTCTTGAATGGTTGTGTATGGACTATGCAGCAATTGAGAGAGTCGGTGTGAGTAGGAAAAATGGGGAACTTTTTATTTTTATGGGTAAAACTATGGGGGATTTTATTAGGATGTGTACATGCCTTTGAGCTACATTGACTCCCCTCTTCGTGCTACTACTGCCCTCTACATATGCACGGACAAGGCCTTTGAAGTACGTCGGCTTAGGATGAGCAGTGTGTGAGCTCGCAACTACGGTCAAGAAGCTTAGCCGGTTAGAGCTGCCAGGGCATGATCATGGTGGCGTCATAAACTATGCATTAGGTTTTGTGATGATGCCATGAACCACACCCTAGAATTTGTGGTCGTTTTTGTACGTCGTCTGATGCTTGGCATGTTCAAAATTTTAATTTTAATTTGAACTATGTCAGACTTTCTCACAAATGAGGGAGTTAACCTTACACACCAAGGATGCGTACATAGTCTCTCTTAGTCAGAGCTTCCCTCGCGCTACCACATCATGGGCAAGACCACACTCATCATACTCTTCTAACCAATGCCAATTTTTGGAATCATCATAAAGAACTTTAGACTAGACTTATTCTAAAGGTTGGAAGCAATCCAATCTTTTAGCACTCCCATGTTCTTGTGCTTACTCTGTTCCAACAAAGAGAGCTCTTGTTTCAAAAGAAACTTCCAAGAATCCATACTTTGGGTTTCCTGCCTAAAGACTTTTCCATTTCTTTGAATCCATATATTCCAACATCCCAAGTTTATGATGTCAAGAGCAACTGGCTGTGGGAGTTTGCCCATGGCTAGAACTGTACCATGGTCCATGGGCATGTCTGGCGTTATCGGGCTTGGTACCGGTACGCTATCATCGTTAGTTTCTAAGCTCGGCGATAACAATTTCTCCTACTGCCGCACATCATACTTCATCGGTGATGGCAACTTTAGTACGGATGCCATGAGGTGTACAATTGCCGGCTCGTTAGCCGGCCTTAGCAGTGACAGAGACACACCCATGACAATAGTAACCCGATGGTGGAGTAGTACATTCAAGGTTGTATGAGTGGATTTGGCGTGACATATCAGTTGTCCTCTAATATCCTAACTCACAAATGACACATATAAAACATGTCATCTTCCATATGACTACTTTTTTTTCAGAGTTCCATATGACTACTTGGACGAACCTTATCACTGGACTGACACCGGCTCAATTTATAGGACCCAACAAATGAGCTGTTCACGCTTTCATTATGCATATGGCCAAGCATGAAGATTGCATATGAAACGGGATGTTTGAGTATGCGCTAATTACGTTACATGAAAAAAGTTACTGCCACACTTATTTGGCCAACAGAACTCAATCTGCGTGCTGCAACCAATGCAACAAAGGAGTTCCCATTGCTCCCGCGAGGAGTTTGCCCACTACCACGTCTGCCGACCGCGCACCACCTACGAGGCGCGTCCTTCTCGTTGGCTTCTTGGCTCGGCGATAGCAAGTACTCTTGCGGCCCCATGCCACACTTCAGCGACGATACACCCGTGCCAACAATAACTTGACAGAGGTGTCGTAGATTCAAGGTTGTACGAGTGGACATGGTGTTACGTATCAGTTGTCCTCTAATATCCTACTTAATTTATATGTTTTTTTTCTGCGAGAACTCCTAACTCATAGATGAAACGGATAAAGCGTGTCGTTTCTTGTATGACTACTACATGGGTAAAGTTTATTTCTGGACTGAGGCTAGACACCATCTCAATTTATAGGCCCAACAAATGAGTTATTCATGCTTTTATTATGCTTTATGTACATGGCCGTTCATGAACGCTCATGAATAAAGTCTGTTTAGCATGAAGCAAGCAGCTAGGTTGTGTGTCCTTGAGCTCAACCAATTCATCTCCTCGTGCTACTGCCTACTGCATACATACTTATTTGATGTAGGTTGCCTTCAGATGAGCAACCGCGCAACTGCGTCTGTGGGCATGCAGTTGCATCGAAGATCCTAACACAATTTTGCTTTCCGGATTGCATTTTTCGATAAAAGGTGGAATTTATTGATTCAAAATGAAAATAAAAGTTGTTGTAGTCATGGATTTGTTATCTTGGTCTACTAACTAAGAAAAAGGGTTTTCCCCCGCTTTGTATTACAAAGCAACCGACCGATACAACCAACGATAGATGCTGAGGCGGAAGCAGCACAATCACACCCAAAAGAAACGAAAGAGAAAAAACAAGAGAAAAAATGCCGACAACGGCGGATCGACGGAAACGAAGAAGCTTCACGACCACTGCGCCCACCGAAGATCTCCCACCAAGCTCTAAGGCTCCGAAGCACCGGTACCAATCAACACCCCCAAGAAGGACCGCGACGATGACGATGCTGTTGCCAAGGGTTTCCCCCCGTACGCAACGAGGCGAGAGGAAGGGTCACCCCCGACGCCCTTCAGGCCTCATTTGGTAGACGTGGGTCGGAGGGGTTTTCAGAGGATTAACCCCGCGAGGCCCAGAATCCTCGCAAAAGCCCATCGGCCTGTTTGGTAGGTGAGGTTACATGGGCCGAACCCTCTCGATTCCCCGTCCATCCACTTCCTCCCACGCGGTTCAGAACCCTCGAGGCCCCCCTCGAGGATTTGGCCGCCCTGACTTGTCAAGACGCCGGCCGCCGCCGACTCCTCCCCAAGACGCCGCCGCTGCCCGACGCCTCAACGTCGGCGATCTTGTCCGGCACACTGGACTTCTCCCCTGCGTAAGTCCTCGCCTCGTCTCCCCTCTCCTCCCCTCGTCGTCTAGGGTTTTCTATCCGCCCGGCCATGGCTGCTACCTCGTCTCTCCCCGGCGACGCCGTCTCTAAGGTACTTGATCCCCGCCTCGTCCAAACTGCCCGTCTCCAAGTTCGCCAAGTTCGCCCCCCTCCTGGTGACCACTGTTCATCACACAGTTGATCAATTTCATGGTCTGATGTGGATGTTGGGAATCATTGGATGGATGATGATTAGTGCATAGTCGTGGTTGGTTGTACGAGGATGTTTCTCTGGTGCTGCTTGATCTGTTAATGGAACAATATCTGCTATTCTGAATTTGTGACGAATCATATTAAGCGTAGTTATATTTGATCTTTTGTGTGTGTTGTGTGATACGTCTCCGTTTTATCTATTTTTCCAAACATTTTTTCCCTTGTTTTGGACTCTAACTTGCATGATTTGAATGGAACTAACCCGGACTGACGCCGTTTTCAGCAGAATTACTATGGTGTTATTTATGTGCAGAAACAAACGTTCTCGGAATGACCTGAAACTTCACGGAGCAACTTTTTGGAAAATATTAAAAATACCTGCAAAAGATGAAGGCCAGGGAGCCCACCACCTATACACGAGGGTGGGGCACGCGCCCCCTACCTCGTGGGCCCCCTGGTGCCTCTCCGACTCCGACTCCAACTCTATATATTGTGTTTCGGGGAGAAAAAAATCGAGGAGAAGAATTCATCATCTTTTACGATACGGAGCCGCCGCCAAGCCCTAAAATCTCTCGGGAGGGCTGATCTGGAGTCTGTTCGGGGCTCCGGAGAGGAGAATCCGTCGCCAACGTCATCATCAACCATCCTCCATCACCAATTTCATGATGCTCACCGTCGTGCATGAGTAATTCCATCATAGGCTTGCTGGACGATGATGGGTTGGATGAGATCTATCATGTAATCGAGTTAGTTTTGTTAGGGTTTGATCCCTAGTATCCACTATGTTCTGAGATTGATGTTGCTATGACTTTGCTATGCTTAATGCTTATCACTAGGGCCCGAGTGCCATGATTTCAGATATGAACCTATTATGTTTTCATCAATATATGAGTGTTCTTGATCCTATCTTGCAAGTCTATTGTCACCTATTATGTGTTATGATCCGTTAACCCCGAAGTGACAATAATCGGAATACTTACCGGTGATGACCGTAATTTGATGAGTTCATGCATTCACTATGTGTTAATGCTTTGTTCCGGTACTCTATTAGAAGGAGGCCTTAATATCCCTTAGTTTCCGTAAGGACCCCACTGCCACGGGAGGGTAGGACAAAAGATGCCATGCAAGTTCTTTTCCATAAGCATGTATGACTATGTTCGGAATACATGCCTGCATTATATCAATGAACTAGAGCTAGTTCTGTGTCACCCTAGGTTATGACTGTTACATGATGAACCGCATCCGGCATAACTCTCCATCACTGATCCATTGCCTACGAGCTTTCCATATATTGTTCTTCTCTTATTTACTTTTCCGTTGCTATTGCTATCATCACTGCAAAATACTAAAAACACTACTTTTACTACCGTTACCACTACTATCATATTACTTTGCTACTTAACACTTTGCTGCAGATACTAAGTTTCCAGGTGTGGTTGAATTGACAACTCAGCTGCTAATACTTGAGAGTATTCTTTGACTCCCCTTGTGTCGAATCAATAAATTTGGGTTGAATACTTTACCCTAAAAAACTGTTGCGATCCCCTATGCTTGTGGGTTATCATTGTGCTTGATGAATTTGGTTTGATGGTGACAACTAAGTGAGCTGAATATATTTCTTTGTTTGCCACTGATCTTATAACAACTAAGTGAGCTGAACATATAATTGATCTTCTAATCTTGACAAACTGAATATAACAACTGAATTTCTTTCTTTGCAAGTATATCATTTCTGTTTAAAAGGCTTTGGTTATTTGACAAATTGAACTGCACGCCCCTGCTATTTTACTAAATGTCATCTATGATCTTCCGGAGAGGCGAGGCGACTCATTTCATCGGAGGTCTAAGAAGCTACGTAGTCAGGCCCCTGGCGCACAACAATACCCTATTCTGATCCTTTCATCAGAGACACCAGGCATTTCTTCAGTTAAACACCCACTGCTCAGAATGGAATCTTCTAATCTTGGACGTCCAAGCAGAATCCAGCAGTTCAAGTTTAATTTCCTTTATTGGAGCACTTTGTTTTGTTGCAGTTCCCAGCTATTTACCTTCACCTCTAATTGCTGCTGTTTGATGTCGCTATGTGTAGAATCTAACATCTTGATTAGTGTAGTGCCAGCAAGATACAAATGTGCATATTTTGCAAATCTTTACAGAGACATTCTTCAACTGGTATAACTTTCTCAGTATTTAGATTGATAGTATGTCTGGTCCTAACTGTTAGCCTGCCATTGCGTACAAAATAAGGCTGTGTAAAATGACAGTTGGCCAGATTAAATAGATAAGGTTGTTTGTGTCTGATTCCCTTTGCATGCACATGCTCATGAAAACTTGTGTGGCTCTCCTTTTATATAGATTTTGGTATCACATAGTGGCTCAAGTGCGATAGCATATATCTTTATCCTAAATCTGGCAATTACAGGGTTGTCCTTTATTTTACTTTAGCTAAAACAATTCTGTAGTTGTGGAATCTCACTAAGACGGCTATGTCAGTCAGATGCCCAGTGATCTGAAAACTAAGTTAATCCCATATTCTGCAGTGGACCATCTTATATTTCAGGTGGCCCTTGAAGCAGCAACTGTAGGATAAATGCACAGTTATTCATTTTCAAACCGCATGATGTAATGTTTCATGCTTCTGAAATCATGTACATAGATTATATAGATACTGTGAGTTCATGTTTTGAGTCTGTACTTGATTGCAAATTGGAGTATTGCATGAACTGAAAGATATGATAAGATGTAACCTGATTAGAATATACCTGATTTTCCCTGTTTCATTTTTAATTACCGATTGGGAGGTTCTGATATGTTCTTATTTTGACAGCCAGCAGCCTGAGTTCTTGTTGGGGTGGACGAGTTGCCTCCATCTTGGGATCCAATTGCCACGCCTAAGTTCGGTAATTTACACAAGCTTTTAGGCCTCTAGACCTTGCTTCTTAAGTTTTAATCGAAGTACTATATCCTACTTGATAGCTCTTGTAGTCTTATCATTTTGTCCTCATGATATGAAATCCAGACCTTGTTTCGAAAGTCTTAACCGAAGTACTATATTCTACTGCTCTTGTAGTCTTACTATGTGTGTATGTCTTATTAATAATTTGCTTCAAGTCAAGTAAACCATGAAATGTAGTTCTTATTTGTTGCTTGTTTACTCTAGTTTTAGTGTCGAGATAAACTCCGAGATTATCGATCGAATTAGGAAGAGGAGAAGTGAGGATGATGAAGATATGATGTCCTTTATTCTGCCTGTATTGCATCGAATGCGTAATAGAGGACCAGTTGAGAGAAAGCAGCGACATAGCTCTATCCTATATGGCAAGAAGCGTGTTGACGATATCCTTAGAGGGCATGTTAAAAAACTGGGTGATGTTGTCACATGATGGTTGGATCATATGATGGATGTGGACTGAACGTATCTTCAGTTTACACTCAACTTGTACGTCTCCCATTTAGGTTGGGTGGTGATCTTTCCTGAATAGGGACTTTTCATTGTTTCATTAGCCTGCCAATTCTACATAAATATCCTTTGTCCTAACAAAAGGTTGTTCTTGAAAAAAGATTTATAATTCCTGCCATAGTATCCATTTTGTTCAGCTATTTGCTGTAATGGTTTTTTCTAAGGGCGCTCTAATGTTCTTATCTTTTGTTTCATCAGGTTCTCATGCACCAAAAGAAGCAACAAAAGATGGATACATTTCTCTCAGGTACTCTGGATGAATAAATTTCTCTCAGGTTGTCAATGCTAGATGACCATGACACCAAAAGATGGATACATTTGTATGCATTATCTTCGTTGGAAAATGATGTTGTGGCTGTGATGAACTGTTTGCTGCAAAAGATTATGTTGTTATGTAAATTATGAATGCTAGGATTTGGGTTTCAAAGACATGTTGTTATGATAAATTATGTAGTTGCTGTGATGAGATATTGATTTTATCTTGTGAAAGCAGCAGCATGGCCTATGAGCTTGGTGATAAACAAGCTGCTTCAAATTATGTTGTTATGATAAAGAGGTGGTGCTGCTACTCCAAGTCATTTTTATCAATTCTGCAGCAAGGATCTAAGGGTTACATTGTAAAGATTGGATTTTTAAATGTTCTACACCATGTTATGTCAACATGACAAACCCTTTCTACCAAATAGAAATTTTAAACAAAGAGGATTGTGAAAGGAAGGGTTTTGAGGATTCAAGGGGTTTTGAGGGGATTGGGTGGAAGAGGGGGATTCACCAAATCCCCTGAAATTCCCCCTCCCAAGACCTCTACAATTCCTTCCTATCAAACAAGGCCTTGGGAAGGTCCGGTGGCACCCACCGGCGTCGCTGTCGGACAAGTCGACATGAGTTTCCCCCGATCCCAACCTTCACCTCGGATGCTCCAGAGCCTGCCACCAAACCGACCACCATCTTGCGCCACCGCGGTCATGAAGCCTCCACCCCGTCTCACCACGGCACCATGAAGAGAGGCCTGGACAATGGGGAATAGGAGCCGGGACTAGGGGCTGCATCACCGTCAGCACGCGGGTGGGCACGACCTCCACCGTCAACGGCGGTAGCTGACCGGACACAATAGTAGGAGCATACCAGGCGCGTGGGCCCACAGGTCCGGCCGGGACCTCCACGCCCGTAAAGCTCCTGCCACCGCGCTGCAGCAGGCACGTCGTCGGCATCGCCGCCCCCCCATCCTAGCTGCTCCTCCTCCACACCACGCAGACAACGACGAAGCCACGCCGGGGAGCCGACCCGCTAGGACCCAGATGGGGCCCGCAGGGCCTAGATCTGAGCCGGGGGCGCGCCGCCGGCCAACCAACGCCACCACGTCGTCTCGTCGCCAAGGAGCCACGCCACCACCTCGCGC